AATAATAATAATAATAATAATAAAAACAAGTTCTCCCATAGCGTTTGTGATGGGCAGTTTATTTTAAAGTTTTTATAGCCTCACAAAAAAAAGTTCCACCAAAATAATCAACAAGTCAAAAGGAGCAAAACATGAAAAAACGAAAGGCTAGCTAGTGATGGTTAATGAAGACCATATGCCTACCTTCACTGGTAGCTGCATTCTTTGGAGCTTTGGTTGATGTCTGATCTGTACTTGAACTCAGGTCGGAGGAAATACTGGAACTGCCTTTCCCTAAAATCACAAAGAACACCCCAGGACACATGAGGACACCCAACACTAATAAAGAAACAACATATTAGTCTTAAAAATCAAAAGACATAGAAAGAGATACTGTATGCAAACATCAGAACTACTTCTATTTAGCATACTTACACATCTGTATATAATGCTCACAATACACAAAACACAGTATGGTTAGTCAACACTTTATTTTATCTGTCAAGCGTGCACAAATAACAAATGACTGTAATGTTCAAAAGAAGTGAATGCGACAGGGTTCACCAAATCTTATGATAAATGCCAGGCATTCTTTTTCTGTCCATCACAAACTTAGAATAACAAACCAGATGCCTCCCACAGATACTCCCCAATGGCAGGGACAAGAAAAAAATGAAAGTTGAAGCTTTTTACAACTCACATTGCAGAAAAACTGTGCCCAAATAAACACAGTCCCAGCTAAATTTCATCACATAAAAAAAAAAATCTATATTATATAAAGATAATCAAAGTTACTAGAAAACTAGAAGCCAAAACAACTTTTTTTTTGGTGATGAGGAATTTCTTTGGAATGCTACATGAGAAAGCCTTTTGTTTTATAATATCTGAAAAGTTGATTCCAAATTAGGAAAGACACAACAGTAAACCTAAGCCTCACGTTTCTTCATATTTGCAATTTGATTAGTTGTGCTGATTCCTCTTTGTTTCTGATTTATTTTGAATCGACACAGCCAATAACCAGCAGGACAAATGTATTTCTGTTTTTTGGATAACGGTAAACCTAAAACAACAAGCCCTGGTGTGAAAGTTTCCTAAACACTCCTATTTGTTTCAATGGCACTTGAGAGCATCAGGTCACATATGAGGCATGTTTACAGTCTTGATGAGAGTGAAAACACAACCCGAGTTCACGTAAGCTTTTATTTGACCATAAATGGCCTGACTGATGGAGCTTCCACATGCTGAGCAAAAAATGTGTTTTGCTCTGTAAACAAACCTGTTTTGCACTAAATAGTCTCCCAGTGATATCACTTAAGTCATTTCAGGCCAGTTTTTTTTTAATGATCAGTGAAATCAGTGAACCAAAGTGGAATCTGCTCAGACACTAACCTTGAATGCAACGTCTGGTTACAACACATGCATTGTTTATTGTTCATTGTCTCTGAAGAATGTGCTTCATTGCTGATGAGATTAATTGACTGAACTATTGCCATAGATCCTCAACCATACTCACATGAAATTTGAAAAAATAAGCAAGCGCTTTTTATGATTATGGAGACAACACTGAATACAGGCCTACTTTATGAGGAGCAAGGTATTCATAATAAAAACAGTGTGTAGGTTAACTGATACCTTTTTGTATGCAAGGTACAAATGTTACATAGAAAGACACTCTAAACCAGTTCCAAAGATTGCAGTGTTACAATTACAAAAAAGCCTTCAACCAACCAAATAGGTGCTATGCTCATCTATGTGACTGAACACTTACAAAAATAAAGGCCCTTTTAGCAGTATTATTAGGTGTAGGCTTGATTTATTTTGTTATCATTCACTATACATTTGACTGGTTTCCTTTGGATAACTTATTTGGGTTAAAAATGGTTGCACTGGAATAGATCCAGGACATCCTGATTTTATTTTAAGGAAAAAAACATGGTCTTTGACTGTGACTCTCTCTGTTAGAGGTTCATATATTCGTCAAATTAAACATGAACAAACATTTGCTTTAATGCATCCATGATGCATTAAATGCTCATACTGTATTTTTTGTAAAACAAATGCTGAAAAGAAAAACTGGTTCTCTTGAAAAACATCTCATAAGTGAGACTAGAACAAACCATAGTAAGTATTTAATGCATTGAAGCCACTTAAAACCACTTAACATGGAAAAGTGCACATTTACTATTTGTTGGCTAACAAATTGCAGTTTATAATGTAGTGCATTTGAATGCAACAGACATCATCTTGTCTTACTATGTTCAATTAAATCAAGGGAGGTCCTAAGTAGAAATAACTAATCTAATCAGTAATAAGTGATCTAATCAGCAGACAACATCAACATTGTAAGAACCTCAACAGCGAAGGATAACAGCAAACATTGCAAAAGATATGTGATATGTGAAATATGTAAATTGGAGAGCTGCTTGCATGTGGGGAGTTCTTGGTTTTCGCACTGAATGCCAGTCTTGAGGCCAAACCTGGACCTTCCAGAGAAATCTGGTGGGCTTTAAAAGACCACAAGCCTCTCACGCAGCGAAGAACTCACTCTGTGAGAGCAAAATCTCTGGCATGAATGCTCATGGTTATTAAGACATGATCAGTAGCAACCTTCAGCATCCATATTTTTAATGGATGGTCTCTGGCCTGGCCTCTAATCACTGTCATATACCCATACGTTGGGAAAAATGCAGAAATCTGCCCACAAGCTAAGATGATAGCTTGTGTTAGGCCATGATTCCTAGCTTATTAAAACACACACACCCTGCGTTAATGGTTACTTTAGTAAAACCAGTCAGCTTGCATTGTGCACTCTGATGTTGGCACACACTCGCTTCTTATTAGCTCCAAACCTAAACCTCTTAAGTTCTCATAAATTATTTTATGAGAATTTAAGAATATTTTTTAAAGCAGCAACAAAATCTTCTTTTTGTCTTTGACAAAAGGTAAACAGAGAAGGATATCAGTCCTTTCATGTGCATTTATTTTTAAGCAGAAACTTAAAATGAGTTGGAAGACAAAAAAAATGTATATAAGGCACTAAATAATATATTATAAATACTTAGATTTGTAGCAAGATTTGTTAAGCATAAACAACAAAAATCTCAAACACTAAAAACAATGAATAATGTTACATACATTTACATTTCTTTTAAGCATGCTTTAAGTAAGGATGACATTCTGAGGTATGAATTCTATCAAAACAGAAAATGACAAGTATGCACTGGAATATAGTTGATACAAGAGATTGCTGCAAGGCTCCTGTTGCCCACAAAGAATAAGGGGCAATAGTGACGTTGACACAACTATGGCTGCTGTACACCGAGATTTAACAGCGGAAAAGCAGCACTGTGGCTGGCTGTGAGAGTTTGTTTCTGGCACTCACCTTCACTCCCGCTCTGTTTCCCATTGTTCGCACCCATCCTGTGGAATGCATAATCTACCGTCTGCGCTCCGGAAAAGTATCCATATGCGTAAAACACGTACGACTAAAGAAAAGATGTGATGAAAATCCGCCAAAGACTGCTTTCAGATACAGTTCGATAGTGTAATGCAACTAGAAAAGTAGAAATAACGGCAAAAGTCTGAGCAACAATTATGCAATCGGTTAAAACAATCCACAAATGACAGTTTAAAAACTGTATTACTTCAGATACAGTGCTGGTTGTGGATTTTCTTCATGTTAAAGGCTCTTCGTCTCCAGACAGCGCGTAGACATCCAAAGGAGAGACTGGAAACCAGATACATGTTGCGTCAGGAGCACGCATACGCTCTTGCAGAATCTGTTACCATGAATACAGTTCAGCGTGTGCTGCGAGCGCGAGTCACTTTGACCTAATATCCTCCCTCTTTGTTGTACAGTAACGCAGTGCTTTTAAAGCCACGATGCCTAATGTTATGGCAGGCTGTTTTAACATGCATTGTTGAATAAAAACTATTTTATATTACCACTACCTATTTTTAATTGCTCGTAGTAACTACTGTTTTTTTCCCGATTGTACTATAGCTATTCACTATGTAGTAGGCTAAAGCAAGTTTATTTAAATTTAAGCAAATATTTATTTATTTATTAATATTTATATTTTAAGCATTCTTTGCTATAATAAGCTAAGAATTTCATACACAATGTTTATTCAAAGTGGTTTAATTATCTTAATATAAAAAAATATCTTAAATTATCTTTAAAATCTTATTCCAGTAATAGCAAGTTTATATTTTATTTTATTTTATGTTATTTATATTTATATTAACTATACTTATCTCAATATAATTATAAATAAATATTCTATTGTTACTACAAATTGCTCATTTTTGCCACTCACTCTATTCATGTCTGACTAATATTGCTCAGACCTATTTTAGTTTTACTAGTAACTATTTATTAGTACTTATTTCTTAGATACATAAAATAGTTGCTATCTATCATTTGGTATTATTTATTAAAAACTAGAACATATTAGGCACTAATGTATATTCCAGTAGTTATTAGTAACAGACTGAATCTCAGTAGTAAGATTTTGATTGAACTATAAAACTTAGTCATTACATTATTAGTTATAAGAGCTTTTTTACTTGTCATGAGATTTAAAAAAAAGAAAAATAATAGTAACATTGAAATGCTAGTTATTTTAAAAGAATACATTTTAAAATGGTTTGCCATAACGGTTATTTTTAAACTAAATGTCAAATTAATGCACTGCATGGAGGAATATGTGAAGAAAATTGCCAGTGCCTGTAAAATAGACTAATAAGACGGTGGAATTTTGTATAGAATACAAAATATATCTTCAAAATATAAATAAAAAATCCCTAATTTGTCACTTGTGGAACTGAACAATAATTTGTACACTACTGTAACTCACTAGCAATTCATAACCTCCAAGCTAGGTGGCGACACAAACTCATTATGACAGCACTATTTTCTTCTACTTCGTGGTTGAAAAGCGTCAGCCCAAAACAGAAGAGGCAGAACTTGAACCTGTATGCTGCTGTAAGTATTTCACGGTTTCCAGATAGGCTAACTTAGTTTTTTTTTTTTTTCACCTTAACGGTCAGCTGTTATTCTTCTCTTATTTAAAGCAAACGGGAAGAAGTGTCACTGGTATGTACTGTAGAAAACCATGGCTTTAATCAAGCAAGCTGACAAGCCCATGTATTTATGAGCCGGTGTGTAGAAACGACGTGATAATCTGGGCACTGATTGATATTCTCGTAAGGCTAATATCTTTCTTTATATATGCATTATGCAGTAGTGCTTCGTTAAAACCACGCCTTAGCGAATTTACCTTAGCGAACCTTCTTTAATGCTCATGCGAGTACTATGATTTTTGTTTGTTCAACTACTTAAAGCATTCGTGTATCCTGCTTCTGCTATCATTAATGGTTTATTTTAAAAAGCGAAATCTCGGGAGATCTGCATTTGCGTTTAATTCATAAAATCTAGAATATTCTTGGTTACAAACGCCCAAGATGATTTAAAGGGACAGTTCACCCAAAACTGGAAATTTGCTGAAAATGTACTTATCCTCAGGCCATTCAAGATGTAGATGAGTTACTTTCTTCATCTGAACAGATTTTTTGTTGTTGAGAAAATTAGTATTACATCATTTGTTCACCAATGGATCCTCTGCAGAATGGGTGCCGTCAGAATGAGAGTCCAAACAGCTGATAAAAACATCACAATAATCCACACGACTCTAGTCCATCAATCAATGTTTTGTGAGGTAAAAAGCTGCATATTTGGAAGAAACAAATCCATCATTAATGTATTTTAACTATAAACCATTGCTTCTGGCCAAAATAATCTAAAATCCATAATAAAACTTCCTCCAATGAAAAATTCTCATATCAAAATCAACCACCATGTTTGCTTAGAACTGTTTTGGACTGTTTTTGCTTGTAAATGGTGCTTGATCTGTACATATTTCTCTCCTGATACAGATGAGACGATTTTTTTTACTAGATCAAGCAAAATGGATGGATGGATAGAGGACTCGTATGAAGTTAAAAATGTCTTGAATTTTTTACTTCAAACATGCATTTCTTTGTTTCACAAGACATTAATTGATGGGCTGGAGTAATGTGGATTACTTGTGGATTATTGTGATCTTTTTATTAGCTGTTTGGACTCGACATTTGTAAGCAAGTGATGTAATGCTAAATTTCTCTAAATCTGTTCTGATGAAGAAACTCGTCTACGTCTTAGATGGCCTAAGGATGAGTACATTTTCAAAAGATTGTTAATTTTGGTTGAACTATTCCTTTAATTTTTATGTATTTTAAGCATTAGCTGTTATTTATAAATGTAGTATACAAACATATGTTGTCTTACAGCTCTGAGGTCATTATGTAAGCCTTTTTCTTTCTCATTCTGTAGGAATAATGTTCAACAGCAATGGCTACTTACAACACGCTGCAGGACCGGATCAGAGTATCCAAGGAGCTACTTGAGCGAGTGGACAAGATTTGCAGTCGCCAAGGCCGTGAGGTTGAGGGACGTGCTAAACTGTGCAGTAAGCTGCGGGCTGAGCTCAAATTCCTGCAGAAGGTAGAGGCCGGCAAGGTTGTGATCAAGGAGTCCCACCTGCAAAGTACCAATCTCACTCATCTGAGGGCCATCGTCGAATCAGCCGAGAATCTAGAAAATGTGGTGAGTGTCCTGCATGTGTTCACCTACGAGGGACCTGACGGCCAGAAGCAGACGTTGGTGGTCGACGTGGTGGCGAACGGCGGACACACTTGGGTGAAAGCCATCGGGCGCAAGGCAGAGGCACTGCACAACATCTGGCAAGGTCGTGGCCAGTACGGGGATAAAAGTGTGATACGACAAGCAGAAGATTTCCTTGAGGCCAGTCGGCAGCAACCTGTGCAGTACAGCAACCCTCACATTATATTTGCCTTCTACAATGGGGTCTCCAGTCCTATGGCAGACAAGCTCAAAGAGATGGGCATATCTGTGAGAGGTGACATTGTTGCTGTTAATACGATGATCGGAGGTGGAGAAGAGGAAGAGAACGAAGACAGTGAAGACAAACATGGTTGTGTGGAAGAGGACCAGGAGGGAGAGAATGGAGCTTTGGTTGAGGAAGTTGATGACGACGACAGTGATGATACAGACCTTATGCACACCCGTGTTGATCGAGACACCATTGTGGCCAGCCTTGCCTTCCCCACTGAAGTGAAGGTAGACGTGTGCAACAGGGTGAACCTTGACATCACCACTTTGATCACGTACGTATCATCCCTCAGCCACGGCAACTGTCACTTCACTTTTAAGGAAGTGGTGCTGACGGAGCAGGCTGCACAGGAGCGCCAAGAGAAGGTCCTGCCCCGGCTGGAGGAGTTCATGAAGGGAAAAGAGCTGTTTGCTTGTCATTCTGCGGTTGAGGATTTCCATGTGATCTTGGATACGTTAGGAGGCCCGGGAGAAAAATCCCGAGCCAAGGAGCTGCTGGCCAGGCTTAAAGTAGTTCCGGATCAGCCGTCTGAGCGCACCAAACGCTTAGTTACGAGCTCAAAGGTGAACCGTAGATCACTGATGATCTTTGGGACAGGGGACACCTTGCAGGCCATCACTATGACTGCGAATAGTGGATTCGTTCGCTCTGTTGCTAACCAGGGTGTGCGATACAGCGTGTTCATCCACCAACCTCGCGCACTCACTGAGGGGAAAGAATGGAGAGCAACTCCAATATGACTGAAGGGCTTTAAAAGTCAGGAGGTTATTGTATAAGATATGGACAGAGTTATATTGTATGAGAAATGGTTAGAGTTATCATTCTTAAAGCCAGACACTCGTTAGAGGCACTACTGTTTAGTCGCAAATAAATTGCACAGCTGGTTGGATACAGACACTCAGCAATCTTTATGTAAACTCAGTGAGCTTAGTGCCTCGAATGTATTTCAATGCAAAGCCAGCAGAGATGTCAAATTAACCAAATGTATGATGATATCAAAAATATAGTGTCAAAACAGTGTTTAAACAGAGGCATATACTTTCTTTTCAAAGCTCTCAACTACATGCCTCAGGGTTTTATTATTATTTTTTTTTTCAATTTATTTTCTTTTCACAAACCTGATTATTAAACCAGTTAATCTGGTCACATCAATTTTCATAAGAGTTCCAAATAAACACTCTTCAAATGACTTTACCTCATGAAGAATATCTCCTTGTGATTCCCTTACGTTATGTTGTATTACTGTAAAATGTTTGCAATGTAAAGACATTTATAATATATCCATTTCAAATAAATGGCTTTCTTTTGAACTTTTCATTCATTTAAGATTCCTGAAAGAAATGTATCATGGTTTCCACAAAAATACTGAGCAGCAGTTATCAACACTGATAATGATAAAGTTTCTTAGCACCAATCAGAATGATTTCTGACAGATCATGTGACAATGAATGAAGACGGCTGCTAAAATGATATTTATTAATATCAAAACAAGTGACATTTATTTTAAAAACGGCACACTTTTCTCAAAATGAATTTATAAAGAATAAGACACTTTCTGGTTGTGAAAGACGTTTATTGTTAATATGAACTACATCTGTGCTTATTCTGCTAGGACACCTGTGAGAACTTGAGGGGAACCGACTTCATAGATCCATGAATCTTGAGGCCGATTGATTGAAAATAAAATTTAAATAAAAATAATTTATTTGTAGATACGTCATGGCATGAAATGTTGCAGCTAACACAATGAAATTCAGATTGAGATAAATATTTTAATATTTCATGAAATAACTTCTTGTTGTTTTAGTTATGAATCTATTTGAGAGGAACTAGAAAGTGACTGATATCACAGTCCCAGCTTGCCATCACTGGCCTTCAGTAAGAGACAGGCAGTACTGTACAGTTACCCAGGAGACCTCTAGGCGGACAATTTTGTTATGGTGGTGACGTCGTAAAACATAACATGCTAGTTTGAGTCTACTGTACACCCGATACTGTAGACGTATCATCGACAAGAAGCACTGGAATTACAAAAAGTTTTAAAACAACACTAAAACTATTTGTAGTTGAGAAGGAAATCTATGACGGAGACGTAACCCATCGAGTTATGTGGCATTATTTAACACGTTCAGATCTTATACGATACATATTTTCTTTGTTTACAAGTAACTGTAGTCTGCGTGAAGACCAAGCCCAGCCAGCCGAAGTTGTCAGTAGTGCTGCTCCCTTCTGAGTCATGAACTGAAGCAAATCTGCCGGTAACGTTAGCAGCAAAGCTAACAAGACGTCGAACACGCGAGTGCCTGTTCATTTGGTAAGTATCTGATTAGTACACACTTTTATTGTAACAACACACTGCCATTCGTTGACTTTGTTAGATGGTTTGATATAACGTACAACCACGTTCTAAGTTCTCAAGCAGTACGTTTTTCCTGTTAGCTGTGGTGAGCTAAAACCAAATCCTCCCTTAAACAAGGAAGTGGCAGTTAGCGCGCTGTCAGTATTTAAATATAACAGGAAAATCACTAGTGATTTTACGCCAGAGTGCTCGCGAACTACTACAGCCCCTCGTGTGTATCATTTCGACACAGCGCAGCAGTCATTAGCTGTATCAATAGGCACTTTCTGAATCTATGTGGTCGGCGATCCCCTTTTTGAATGATAGGACCCACCCCTGTATTAGAATAATTCACTCTCTAGCGGCTATTGAGTGAATTAATTCAATCCACGCGAGTTTTGCTTTTCTTGTAAATGACTGTACGAACGGAACAGGTGTCAAATATCACGCGCATGTATTGTAGCCGTTGTTCAATTGTTATGGAATGGTTCACGACCCTAAGTTAGTTTATTTATTTGCCATAGCAGTATGTCCTCCGCTGTCCGCACCATGATCGTAAAAGATATTTGCATATTTACATTATAGTGAATCTCACAGCACATATTTTAGATTTTAAATTATGCTGCTACTGCATATGAAGGCCGTTAGAGAACCTGTGTAACTATTCATATCGTAGGCTATCCATGTGACCTGTAAATGCGAAAAAGCCGTTTCCATTGCAGTTTTGCGAATTATTCCTTTTTCGCATTGCCTGAAAAACCACCTCATGCGAGCGTAAAAACTTTTTTGCGATATATGGGAGTTTTTGCGAAATTGACTAGTTTCCATTAGGCGTATTTTCAATTCGCAATTTCAATTTGCGCAATTTGAAGGGTAATGGAAACGCGCCTAATGTCAGAATATTGTAGCTTTAGGGGTACAAAAGCTTAAATGGACAACTTTGTGCTTTATCTACATATCCATCCATCTATATATAGAGAGAAAGAGAGCGAGAGAGAGAGGTTTTGCATTTAATTATAATTTACATGCATTATACTCCGACATAATGCTTGGTCTGTTTTGAAAGGCTAATGAGTAAATATACCGCTATAATGACAGACAATGTTAATTTTGAAGCACAGGATATCTTTTGATAAGGTGCTCTCACTTGTTTTCTCTGACCTTGCAATCTTTATGAATTAACAAAAGGTCCTTTCATCGTATTCAAAAAAGTAGTTCAAAACCATAGTCTTTGGTTCAGAAATATTAACTTCACTTTATGCCACATTGCAACCCTGTAACATTCTCATCTGTTATTAGAATGAACCAGGGCCACAAACAAAAGCCTACTGAGGCACCTTTATAGAAATATGATGCCCCATTAGTGAAGTGCTCATTTAAATTTTCCATTTCCATTTTTTTTCTGACTCTTTGCACCAGCAGGCTTGTTAATGTGGCGTTAATCATGTGGAAGCAGTGAATGATACTGCAGAACGTAGCCACACCCTCTCTGTATACACCACAGAAGAGCTGTGTAAACCGAGTAAACTTAATACAACTGCTGTTGTTAGCAGTCTGCAACTGAGTCAACAGTAATCCTATATTATTGTGTAGTGACTCCGCCCATGATTTCAGTTTTTTTGGTATATACTTATTACATACAATCGGATTACACCTATGACCTATAGTCTTACAATCTGGACAGTTGCCTGATATTGAGGATTATCTCTAAGTGATTTATTTGGCTATATGTAATCCATTGATTCCACATGGATTACATTTGATAGGAAGATTTAAAGGGGTGTTCTCCCGAAAAATTTAAATTCTGTCATCATTTACTATGTGATTCCCAACCTGTATGACTTTATTCTTCTGTGGAACATAAAAAAATGATATTTGGAGAAATGTCCCAGTGGTTGTTTGTCCATACAATGGAATTAAATGGTCACCAAAACGGTTTAGCTATCAACATTCTTCAAAATATATTCTTTCATGTTCCACAGAATAAAGTCATACAGGTACGACATGAGGGTGAGTAAATGATGACAGAACTTACATTTTTGGGCAAACTGTCAACAGTTCTTTAGGAGAATTGATGAGTTTGTGTTTTTGCTTCATTCTAGTGAGCAATGATGTCAGTGTCAGTTAGGAAGGGAACCGACAAATGCTGTGCTAGCTTTCATGAGAAGCCTCATTGTTTTAGCATTTTCTCTGGGGACCGAGAAGAAAGTAGGTCTGTGTTATCATCATCATAAGCAGGGTCAATGTTGGGAATAAGACAAAGCTGATTATTCATAAGTAACACCCCAAACATGTTTGACTCACTTGAAAGGGTGCAGGTATATTAGTAATGAATGATGGTAATTGTTCCTGTATGACTAAAAGAGTTGCTGCTGTACATAAAACACCAGTCTTATACAATTAAAACAAACACAAAAGCTTTAACATCTGCTCTGTTCTTCTCAAAGTTCTTCCTTACAGGGTTCCCTTAATACCCATCTACCTCTGATTTTTCACTACTTCACTGCACTGCCACCCATCTCTCATTGCCTGAAGCCATGGCTGCTAACAGGAACGCTTTGGCCCTTCACAAAGTGATAATGGTGGGCAGCGGTGGCGTGGGCAAGTCAGCACTAACACTGCAATTCATGTATGATGAGGTAAGACTTCATATTTAGGAATTTCACATCATGTGTAAATTGAGGTCAACCATGAAGTATAATTATGCTGATCTCTTTCAAGTTTGTGGAAGACTATGAGCCCACCAAAGCTGACAGCTACAGAAAAAAGGTGGTTCTGGATGGAGAGGAGGTCCAGATCGACATCCTCGACACAGCAGGACAGGAGGACTACGCTGCCATTCGGGACAACTACTTCCGCAGTGGAGAGGGATTTCTCTGCATGTTCTCCATCACAGAATCTGAATCCTTTGCTGCTACTGCTGATTTCAGGTAGAGAGATGACTTTGAAACTGGTGATTAACACAATACTGGTCTTGCACAGTATAAGACAAAAGCTTGGCTAATTATCATGTTCATGCAGAAAAACATCCGGAGTTTTCTCATTTTACCTCTGAACTTTAGAGAACAGATCCTTCGGGTGAAGGAGGAGGAGAACGTACCTTTCCTGCTGGTGGGAAATAAGTCAGACTTGGAGGACCGACGGCAAGTCGGAGTGGAGGAGGCCAAGGCCAGAGCAGATCAGTGGGCAGTCAGCTACGTCGAGACTTCTGCCAAAACCCGTGCCAACGTAGATAAGGTAAGCCTTACAAAAACTGGTTTGGCAACCATTACATCTAATACTTTATGGGATAGTTCACCCAAAAATTAAAATTGTCATTTATTCACCTACATGTTGTTTCAAGCCTGTATGACATTTTCTTCTGTGTAATTTAAAAGATATTTTGAAGAATGCTCAAACTAAAAAATTTTTTTTTTAAAAATCTAAAATTTTTTAATCTAATGAATCACACCCTTTTTCTGTGATTAATCGCGATTAATTGCACACTTCATGAAATTAAGCATAGACCATTTATCTTGTTTCAAATGTTTATTTTGTTATCATTTGCTATATCCAGCAATTTAGCTTTAATTGCATTCAATTATTTTAACGCGTTAAGGATTGTAAAATTAATCGCATGCGTTAACGTTGACAGCCCTAAAAAAAAAAAAAAAAATTGGCCCCCACTGACTTTTAGACGCAAACATTCTTCAAAATATCTTTTGTGCTTCACGGAAGAAAGCCTGTCAGTTATACAGGTTTTGATTACCTGAGTGTGAGTAAACAATGACAAATTTTCATTTTTGGGTGAACTATCCCTTCACTATGCACAATGAATCAGTATTAGCAGAACTAATGATACATTCATACAACCTTTGTAATCTCTCCAGGTGTTTTTTGATCTCATGCGTGAAATCAGAGCCAGAAAAATGGAAGATGGCAAAGAGAAAAATGGGAAAAAGAGGAAAAGTTTGGCAACGAGAATTCGAGAAAGATGTTGCATTTTATAATGACTGGGTCACACTATAACGCTAACATCTCTTCTCTACCCTTCCACTGCTTCCAAAAAAATCCATCAGGTTTCATAACACTCCAGGCAAAAATGTTGGAGATCATAGGCTACAGCCTGTGTCTGTTTCTCGTTGTTGTTTCTCAATGGGTATAAAAGGGCAGAATATCAGATATGCATTAAAATGACAAAAGGTGTCAAAGGTCTTACATATCAGATAAGAACATTTCTCAGCTCAAGCACACCATAACTACTATAATAATTTTAACTTGTAACTAGATTCTGTTCACTTTAGTTGCTTTTAGTTGAATGTGAGTACATTGAGAGCTAAACACTAACACTAGGAAAAATAATACTACTCCGAACTATTTGTTAGCAAGTTCACAGTGTGTTTTGAGGATTTAAACCTCCTGTTCTGTTTTACTTCTTAAGGTAAAGCCTTAATATTAGAGTATACAAAAATGTTGGGTGTTAAGCCGCATAAATGCTTTTAGGTAATTTTCAAAAAGAAAATTATAGCTATATATCTTTGCCTAACATAGGCAATGCTACATATTTCCCAAGCAAATATACAAATTATTAAAAATATCTAGCCTAATAAATTCAGGAATCAATGGAATTTATTCTTAATTGGCTTTTTACCAAAACCTTTCTTTGAATTCAAAGTTTAAAATGTAAAAGCCCATGCATTTCAGAAAAGTTGGCACTGTCCATTATTTCATTTTATTATCCCAAGTCTAATAGTGCACCAAACTCGTTCCCAATCTCTCCTTTAAACACATATACATAAAATATTTGTAGTCAAAAGGGCTTATTCACTCATCCCTGTGTGTGTGGCACCAGATTTAGAGGTTTGTTTTGTGCCATCTAGGGGTCCCAAATAACACAGATTTTACTATTTAGAAATGAAAGCGTCATCTAGCTTGAGTTGACTTTACTGTGAAAACAGGTTGGAATGTTTTATTACACAGACTGAATTGTGTACTTTATCATAACTTGTATGCAACTGAATATTTCTTGCTACGTTTATCCTTTTTACATTTTCTATTGTAAATTAAAATTTTCTGAATTTTGTTCTTTTAAGGGGAAGAGAATATTGTGAAATCATACTCGCTCATACTAAAACTAAGAAACGCTAAGGGCTGGACACAATCTGCATTTCAGACACCTGGTCCTGCTGGCTGGAGTAAAAAAAGAATTGTCACCCTTTGATGAATGGTTTTGAATAAGCACATCCATGTGTAAATACATGTGAGGTTGACAGTTTATTTCCACATTACTATTTTGTATTCTTTTGCAGCTAAAACTACACTTTCTTTTAAATGCTAACTCTGCCACTGTCTTTACCCAAATCTTTGTGTGCACTGTGGCATATGCAAGTTTTTCTTTCCCTCTGTTTAATCAGTCATAGTGGGTTACTATTCCTCAACAAGCTCTTGATTGGTCTGTTTGTGTGGTAAGCGTGCCATGTGGCAATGATGCTGACATATCAACAGCTGATGCCTCAAGAGACCCATCATTACTTTTAAAGAGGGACTGTCTTTGAGCGCAAAAAAAAGTTTACAATACATGACAATTTTAATATAAGCCTCTATTGTTCGAGTCTTTCTTATACACTTAGATACACCTTCATTCTATATTTTGGGTGTCTCGTGGCAAAACGCTGAACATGCAGAAATTTTAATTGAAAAAAGGGTAAGGCCAAGTTATAAGCATTCTCGAACTAGCGGACAACCAAGACAAAAAAAAGAAAAAAAGACAGCACTGATGTCATGTAATATTACAACAGTAATTATGGTGAACGTAGAATGAAAATGAAATACAAACATTTAAGCATACTGAACTTATAAAATGTTATGTTTCTGTTACATTAATAAAATCTATTTTTGTAGACCTCCAATATGAGATTCATATGGTATACTGTACAGCAAAAACATAATACCTACAAAAAAAGACTGAATTACAGCTTGCAGAGATGTGTAGTAATGTTACAGTGTTTTATCTACATTATCCATGGTGAGATTAATTTTGAAGATATTAAACATGTTTTTAGTAAATAAAGCGTAACAGATTTCAACTTGAAATGGTTTTTGACAAGGACTGTATTGCATTACAACTTTTAATTATATTTGGCTTATTATTCAACAATAGTTCTTTGTGGGCTGTTTATGATTACAATGTATGTAGCCAGTCCATGTTTTTTATTTATACAAAAAAGAAAAGATCATAGACTGATAAAACCAAAAAAAGTCACCAAAAAAAAAAAAGAGTCCATAGAAAATTAGTAAAGGAGCCAAACCTACAAATACTTGACCTGACCTGTTCTAATTAACATCACACAGTCAATATTGAGAGGTAGATGGATGTGTTGATCAGACATCTTTTGTTAGACTGCATTTTGAGCTTGAAGACATATTCCTCTGAATTCAGTGAAGGATTCGCAAACTCGTCTTGGGAGTGGGCCTGAGATGGCAAACTACTTTGAATAGGCTGCCAGTTACAATAGCACCCCATTTTTATGATCCTGTCGTTGAGGTGCAGATATAAAAGTAAAAGAGAGTGTCTCTTTATACAAGCAAGTACATATGATTTAAAAAAATGTGGAGTCAGTTTCTCAAGAATTATTGCTGGTGAATCCTGCCTCAGGTCCATTGTGTTCGGCTTGCTCCGTTTGACTTTAAAAATGTAGTGCACTACTGGTGCACTAAATAAAAAGGACTGTTCAGTGACTTTTCCCTTTCACTGAAGTTAGATAAAGTTTTAATTGTAGTACCTCCCTTGTCTGCTTGTATTGGTTTGTTTGGAGTTGCATTTAGACTGAGCTTGTGTAACTGAGATGGGCTGTAGGTCAGCCCAGGGATCTTGGAGCATTGACGGTTTGTAATATTTTTCCATATCATTTGTCCCTCTCTCCCTGCCATGCGCTGACCCAAACGGAGTGGATGTCCGTGGTGAACCCTTAAGGAGAAAATTGTCATGCAGAAAGACGTTAAAACGACCACACTTACTCAGAGACAATAGTGTCCTAACCAACAACAACAAAACAAACGCACGTAAATCGCAGAAATTAATTCGGATTAGAGCAGCAAAATACTGCAAAGAAGCGAAATTACTGCACATAAAACTGTTTAAAAGCTCAAATTGCGCATTATTATTTTAATTTTGCTCTGGAACGCTAGTGAACTACCTGATATCCAGAGTGTCGTCCGGGACTCTCATACGGCGAGCGTCTGAACGGTGCGCCGCGGGGACTGGGGTTCGATCTGCGCGGTGTGTGACCCGGAGACTGACCGTCAAAATATTTCCCACCGCCGCCGCCTCTATTACCACCAAACTCTCTCGGTGGGGTATTGGGAGAACACTGTCCAAATCTAGGTCCAAACGGCGGCGGTGGGGTTGAAAATGCCCACGGAGGCGATGGAAACATACTCCCTGTCCTGTCGAAAGCTGGAGGCGGGCTACGGAAGCCTGCTGCCCGTGGACCAGAGCCCTGGCGGGGATGGCGAAACTGTGGTCTTTGCATCGCGTCCTGATATTTTCCACTCTGTTTCCTAAACCTCAGAAGACAAATGTATTTATAACGTGACGCTCTTAAACCTGTTTTTCACTTAGCATAACAAATCAGCACAACCCGGAACAACAATCGTCTCTCGACGGTTATCATTTGAATACAACGTCAGTGAAAGACTCGGTACTGCCGCCTATTCTCATGGCGCGCTAAGCGCCCATACACGCATTTAATCATCGATACCACTAAACAACAACCACTAAACAACAACCATTTAAGACAAAATTCAATGTAGTTCAGACACTCGTTGCCTCAAGTATTTTATAAAATAAAAAAAAAGATTTAGTATTTGTTTTGACTACAGCCTATTTTGTATCAGTTTATACATTCACTTTGGATCAAACCCATCCCTTGCTGTTGTCAATATAACTAGAACGTTTTTTTGTTGTTGTTCATGAACCACTTGACTGGTCCACCAGCACCAAACCAGCATGGAAATTCATGTTGGACTTTTCAGCTGCGGGCGTTTTATATTTGTAGCCCACCTGGGAGATAAATGTGTAAATGTTAGAGCCTTTCTTACATGAACAGCTATATTTTTTTTCTCCCGTAGTCTCATTTTTTTCTCTCATTTCACTCTATATGTGCTTTTCTCTAAAAAATTCTCTCCAAATATTGCATACCAACAAAGTGCAGTATAAAATAACACAGGCTTATTATTTAATAGGTGTCTGAAACCTGCATCAAATGTAAAATTAAGAACGCATGCCCTGTGAAGCCCATGGGAAATTTCTGGGAAGATTTGATTATTATTATTATTTTATTGAAAGCAGTGTTTATATATCTTTATGTTTTACTGTAAGATATTTGTGAGAGCTATATCACTGTGCTTAATTTGCTTCACTGTAAAAAAAAAAAAAAAAAAACATTTTTTCTTATTAAAACTTAATTTTTCTCATTTAACTTAAAGTTTATTGGAGCATGTTTTACAAGAAAAAATGTATTCAGTTTTTCTCCTTATAAATGTCATGTTTAACTCAATGTGTTACTTACCCTTTTAATTATTTGTAAAATTCACTAGCAATTTCTGAGTGAAAATTTATGGAAAGTAAATCCTACATTTTTTTTTCAGTGTAGCTGTCAGTAGAGGTCAGTGTAACCATTACTTTTTACACAGTTTATTAGAAGATTAAGCAACGAGCCGATTAATGTGTGTAACAAATCTGTGCAGTAAAATAGCAAAGTATAGTTTCCACTCTCTGGGTGGAAGGGGCCAGGGTCATTGTGAATAGTCCTCTGTTGAGGTCACGTCCATGTTTTATTAGCTGTGCTCTTGAAAACAGATCATAATTCATCAAAGACAAAGTTTTGTGCTGAGATGATAAGAGATTTGCAGTGAGGAGGAATTACGTTTTCCCACAGCAGTTCTGATTCAGGACTGCTGATGGATTGAGTTCAAGGGTGTTTTCTTTTAATACATTATTTTGTTCATTTCTAAGCTCTTGTGTCAAGAGTTTCATCGATGGAGCAGTGTTTGGTTTTGCTATTATTTAATTTGGAAATCAGCGAACAGAGAAAGTGTGGCCTTAAAAGGCAATCTAAAGCTTGAGACATTACGTTTGGGAACTTCCACCAGGGCTAGCTGCTGCAGTGAGAATACGATGGCACTAGAATTTTCTAATTGTCACTACTAAGTAATTTAGGAAAATAATGATAAAGCTGGTGCAAACAATGTGAGTTACCTTAATTGATCTTAAGGGACTTGATGTACAGCACAAAACTTGATGTTGAAGTCACTTGTTTGCAAGTTTAATTTAGTTGTAACATTACATTACAATATTATAACATAACTATGTAAGACGTTAAAAGCAGTCAAATTATATAACTGATGCAGCCTAAATAACCTAAACATGGTGTTAGTTCATTTGGATGCTGTTTTTTCAGATTGTTTTTCGGTGTTAGAAATTTCTCAGCTCAGATATTAGGTTGGCAAACCAACTACAATGTTTTGCTGTCCTGCCTGAGAAAGACAATGATGACCATTAGTGGGCTAAAGATCAGACGCAGGCACACAAAAAAATGCAGACTGGCACATGTGGCATGCTTTTGTCTTCAAAACGTGAGGAACAAAATGTTTTATGGGACAAAACTGTGTCACTGAAGGCACAGGCCATCTCACTGAGAAACAATGTGGCACTCAGATGAACCCTGTTCCCTCTTAAGTCTCCCAGGCAAGTGACATATTTCCTCACACCCTAGATTTCGCTCATGTTCTAGCCCTCCGTTTCCCATGTTTACTGAGTTCCCAGACTATCTTTGTCCCAACTCAAATGCCCCTCCATCAAGCACTCACTGAAGGCTAGTCACTTACACACTTTACTTTGTTTACTGCTGTTTTTCCTAAAAATACCCTGAAACCTTGTATGTTCTTGTTATGATGAGAGTACTCGTAAACAAAATGTGGTGTGTGGAAAAAAAGCTGTTGTTCAGCAACTGTTATTGTTAATTGTTCTGCAGCATTCCATGAGTGCTGATATACAGTGCACCCAGTAGGTGGCGACAGGTGACCATTTTATAAGTGAATCAATCATTCAACTGATTCATTCAAAATGCTGATTCATCCAGGAACTTACTGACTGTGTCTGAAATCACGAAATTAATTCAAGAAGTTACTGGTTGCGTCTGAAAACAAGCACTGAGGTACTTCTTTTGAATGCGTAATTACTTTGCAACCATTAAAAAGACTTGATGTAATCGTCATGAAGCCTACCAGCAATCCTTGTGTCCAAAGTGTCCATTGGATGTGCACTTCAGTATCTCGCCTGTGTTTTTTGCCTGCTATTTATTAGGGAAGTATGCATATTCTGATGCAGCCTTTTATAGTCACTGAATCATTCACTCAAACGATTCATTCAAAGCAGGATCCTTTCAGGAACTAAACATCACTACTAAA